CGGAATGTTTTCCAAGATATCCATAAACCAAGCATTTGGTGTTGAACTAAAGATTTTTACCATGAGTGCTTTCTTTGTCGCTTTAGAAAACATACGGGTCCTTGTTTTGAATTCGTCATTTTTAACCCATAAGAAATGGGTTTATTTGGCGCATTAGCAGGAGTCGCATCTAGATTTTTGCCAGCAGTGGGAACACTAGCCAGAGGTGCATTTGGAATTGGAAGGAAGATTTTGAGTACATTAGGTATACTGAAAGAAAAGCGCAACCTATTATACAAACCGTACAGAAAGGTTGGGAGGTAGCACGAGATGCAGCAAATCTTATTCCAAATCCTGAAACAAGAGGAAAAGTTCAAGGATGGATGGACAATGTAGGAAGACAAGCAGGAAACTACTATAACAAAGCAAATGACTACTATAACCAAGCAGGGCACTATATGGACCAAGGTGAAAGATTCTTTAACAGAGGATATAACCATGCACAACAGTGGGTAAACAACAACCAACCGCAACCACCTCAAACGTGGGGAATGTAAATTTTTTTACCGAGATGAAATGAACAATACAGCTTTGAGACAAATGGGCTCAAGATGGATTTGCCGGCTTCCAGCAGTTACACAACGTGTTTGTCAAGTCCTCCCTATACCTCAGGAAGTTTTAGACCGACTTAAAAAACAACAACAACCAGTTGAAAACAAACCAAACTAAAATTTTTTACTGAGATGAAATGACCGAAGAAGTTGAAACGGTAGATTTGACACCACAAACAAAAAGTTCAGAACCATTGTCAAAACCTGTCAAAGAACTTACAGATGAAGAGAAAAATTCAATAATAGAAAGTGTGAGGTCTGGAAATACAAACCCTAACTACAAAGTCACTTTTCATAAAAATGGAACGGCAAGTATCTCAAAAAAGAAACAGACTCTCACAAATAAAATATTGAAGTCGGAAGGAGTTTATGAGACAACAGATGGAAAAGTTTACTTCACTGACCAACAGTTCATTATAGAACATCTCATTGACTTAGAGTCGAAATATTCTAAACTTTACAACAAACACAAAAAGTTGAAAGGAAAACAGAAACAAATGGCATATGACATTTATGAAGATATTGACGACACAACCATACCAGCAAGTGAGGTAAAGTCAGATGAACCGAAAAGTGACGAAAAACCAATAGAAGAAGGGAAGCCAAAAACTGAAGATAAACCAAAACCAAAGTTTAGTCTCCAGACTAAAACAAGCCAACCTTCATTAGCTGGTATGGGTTGGCGTCAAAGACTTTTGGCAGCGGGTGGTTACGTAAAGTAAAGAAAACAGTATATTTTTATTTTATTTGAAATGTACGATGAGTCTGTCGGAAAAGACCGTTGGGAAGACATAGATGAAGAAGTCTTAACAAAACATTGACGATGAAGTTCATGAGAAATTAGATGAAGAAGTCTTTACAAAACATTGACGATGAAGTTCATGAGAAATTAGATGAAGAAGTCTTAACAAAAACATAGACAAGAAAGTTCATGAGAGATTAGATGAGAAATATGAAATGGCATACCATTTTAAAACATTTTTTTATTTTTATAAAATGCCCCCGTATAGAATGGATAGAAAATCTGCTAGAATAAAAGCAGAGTTAGAAAGATATGGTTGGAAAGTTTCGAAGAAGTTTAAATATAGGAAGGGAAGACCCATAAAAGTCTATGACAAACTGTCTGGTCTTCGCTATGAAATGGACTTAGAAACAGCACGCGCAAATTATCCAAACAGATTAGAGAAGTTAGAAGAAGAACGTCTTATGGACATGCCTTTCGATGTTAGTGAGCCTCAAGTTGAAGGACACGACGGCTTTGCCAGATTCTACTGGAAACATAACGAACAATTGTATCCTTTGAGGAGGAAAAAAGGTAGTGCAGAGGATGGTCATGCTCCCATGGAAAGAACAAGATATGCATATGAGAAGTATCGTGAGGTTCGAAGTCAAATTACATCTGGTCGAACCTTTACAGTAAACTTTGAAGAAGGAAAGAACAAAGAAGGCTTCATGGGAGTACTTGCTGCCATACAAGACGGAAATAAGAAAGGATACAATCTCAGACTAACCGTAACAGATTTAGATGGTCATATATACTATGCACATGGCAATGTCACAACAGCCGCAATGCTTCTTGACGCTTTCAAGACTACAAAGAGAGAACAAATGTTTGACTCCGACTCAGATATTTTGAATGCAATTGAAGGAATTGCAAGCGTGAAGTTTGAATGGTACCAACCCAACCCTCAAGCAGTCAGACAACATGCTGGATACTTCCCGTTCAGAAATAAGTCTGACATTGACTTAACAAGGTATGGAATTTACAATTCAATTGAAACAATTGTCAATGAACCTTGTATTCTTACATGTCTCAGGAACTCTGGTCTTGTTACAGATGAGAAGATGAAGTATCTTGAGTCATGTGTGAAGACAAGGTACATTCTCAGAGGTCAATTGTCAAAAGTTGCACCGTTGGCAAATGTGAATATCCGAGTCAACATACCGACTGAGAAAGGTTCTTCACATGACGACTATGTTATTGACTTCAAATTGCCATGGTTGAAGATTGTACTTGTCCACAACCACTTCATGTTAAACGAAAGTCTTACAAACCCATTGTTCGGAAAAGGTAAGTGCAACATTGTCAGAGCTGTTAACATTCTTTTCGAGAAAGGCTTGTTGGAACCAATTCCAGATGACAAGCTGACAGAAACTTTTGTACCAAAAGACGAAACAAATTTTTCATTGTTAGTGAGACCAAAAATTGTTCCGGACAAAGTTATAGCACAAAAGAAGTACACAGCTCCAAAAGGAGTTGGATTGTTCGGATACCAACCTGAACCAGAAGAACTTCCAATGAGGTTGCAAGAACTTCAAGATGCTATAAACAAACTTCCATTGAGACATTCAATTGACGTCAAATTGTATTGGAGAGCTTCTGAGTTAGGTCAGAAAATTTTATATGAAACAGGTTGCTTTGACGATGTTTATGAGATAACAGGCGAGGTTTCTCAGAAGATAAGAGACTCACTTGAATTTCCACGAACCGGACCCATTGGATGCGATAAGTTCGACTCATACGAAAAAATATACTATGTCGACCTTAACGCTGCGTACATGAGGTTCGTCCAATATATCCCGACTGGAATTCCAAACGAAGATGGTGAGTTCCCGGGAAGGAACTATACAGTTGGAAAGGTCATACAACAACTCTATGATATTAGGAAAGCTTCAAATCCCAAACTTGCAATGACAATCAAATTGCTTATGAATTCGACATGGGGGTATTCCATTAAGAAACCTCAAAAGATGAAGAGTAAACACTATGAGAAGGTCGACAACTTTGTTGAAAGGTTCTCCCCTTTTGTTTTGAAATACGAGTTCACCGAAGGTCAATGTGGCTTAGTAACCACAGTAAAACCTATTGTCGAACATTGGTCTTACCCTCAGTTCGCAAAGGCAGTCCTCGACAACTACAACAAATTTTTCTCAGAGGTCAAATCCAAAATTGTGGTTTACTATGAGAACATCGATGCACTCATGACGAACGAAGAAGGGTATAACAAACTCATTGAAATGGGTTTAGTCGGTGAGAAGATGGGCTGTTTTAAGCTAGACAAAATTTTCACCGAAGTTCATGTAATATCGAAAAGGAAATATTGGGGTGTTAAAGAAGATGGTGAAATAGTTAAACATTGCATGAAATAAAACATTGCATACCATTTTAAAACGTTTTTAAAACAGTATATTTTTACATATATAAAATGCTTCAGGTTGAAAAACAAAGAACAAAAGTAGCAGATACAAAACCGTTAGACTATATCTTTACAAACGCCGGTAGGACTATATCAGATGAAGAAATTTCATCCGGATCTTACAGATTTGACTATCCAATTCGCTGGCTTCAAAGTCCTTCAGATGCAAAGGCAATAGGATTTAGAAGAGTTTTGTTTTCAAATAGAACTAACGCTTTTATGTTCGCAGTATATTTTCACGGTCAGTATAAAGGCTCTGATGGTCTAATAGAAAGATTTGATGAAATGAAGATCTTTACTATTCGTTCAGACGAAAGTCTTGAAAAAACTCTAAATGACTTTCAAACTCAAATAAACAAATACTACTGGGAATTTCAAGAAAAATACGACTCTTTACTAAATGGAACATACTATCTAAAGCTAGAATACGACAAGATGAACTCCACAGTTTCATTTCAAAGGATTGAAAATAACCCTCCAAGAGATACAGAGTTTTTATATTGGGGGGTGGACAGACGTTCTTGGGCACAATTTCTTCGGTTACTAAACCAGAACGAACCATTGCCACCTGACGGTCCGTTTAAATTTATACTCCCACCAACAGATTTGACAGTTTATAGAAACGTGTTCGATCCTCAAAATGTCATGTGTCATGCAAGTTTCAGTTCAAGCAACAGCAGTTTTCTTTGTATCGGTAAGGACTTTTATGACTTTGCTTCTAAATTCTACGAACCACCTAGTAACAGTTTCTCTGACTTTCAAATTTGGTTCACAACAAACGGTGTGCAGCATATTATACCATTGTACTATGACTTTTATCTCGAATTGTCTTTCATATACAACTACGGAAAAGTGCTGAAAAAGTATTGAAAAATATATTTTAGGGTAGATGGTTTTTTAGGTGTCACCAGGTCACTCGGTCACTCGGTCACTCGGTCATTTTAACTTCTCTGAAAAAGTGTGACAACATGACATTTTGACAACAACACAGGAAGTAGACTTCATCGTATTCTTTCACCCGTTGAACTGTGTATAAAAAGCACCCCGCGGAATTCCGCGGGGTGGTATATTCTTCACGAAATGCTTGTTTTGAGGTTAAGCCACAAACGAATGTCCGACGGTTAAGCCACAAACGAATGTCCGACGGTTAAGCCACAAACGAATGTCCAACGTCCCACCAAAAAATATTTTTTATTTTTATTGTAAGAACAGTATGACAGTCGAAGCAAAAACGTTCACGAACAAATCTAATGGCGAAACATTCACAAAAGGCACCTATAACGGTATTGAAGTCTTACGTAGAGACAAGGATGGTTATATAAATGCAACAAATATGTGTCAGCAGTTTAGGAAAGACTTTAGAAAGTTGTTGGAAAATAAGTCCTGGGAAGAGTATTTTAAGGCATTTTGTGAAGAATATACCACCCGCCGGAATTCCGGCGGGTGCTTTTTATACAATGTTAATGCAGGAATTCCCGATGAAATCAAACAGGTTAGAGGAACGTATGTAGACCCAAGACTCGTAAACTATATAGCAATGTGGGCTTCTCCAAAATATTGCATAGCAGTTGGAAAAATTATGGACTCCATAGACAAGAAAGTTCATGAGAAATTAGATGAAGAAGAACTTGAAGATACAGTAGAGAATGCTAAACCTTTGTTCGAAGAAGAAGTTAGAAAAATGCATGAAAAACAAATAGAACATGAACGTGAGATATGTTCTGGTTATAGAGACTCTCCATACGAACTAGACCAATGGGAACAAGAAGATTTAAAGAGAGAATTTAGAGAATATGAACTCGCTAAAGTTTCATTAGAAGCTGCAGAAGAGAGGTTAAAAGGTTGGGGTCCTTTTGTACAAAAATATTGTGAGTAAATGAACCATTTTATTGTACCATCGTAGAAAACACACAAAACTCTTGAATTTTGTATAAAAAAAGCACCTGCCGGAATTCCGGCGGGTGGTATATTCTTCACGAAATGCTTGTTTTGTTGAGACTTCATCGTCAATGTTTTGTATAAAAAGCAACCGCCGGAATTCCGGCGGTTGGTATATTCTTCACGAAATGCTTGTTTTGTCAAGACTTTCATCGTCAATGTTTTGTATAAAAAGCAACCCGCGGAATTCCGCGGGTTGGTATATTCTTCACGAAATGCTTGTTTTTGAGGTCGAGCCACTTTGGCTCCACCTGTTTTTTCAACCAAAACTCATTTTTGTCTGATTTACGCTCATTGACGATGAAAGTTTTGACAAAACATATACGAAGAAATCTATCTCCTGTGTTGTTGTCAAAATGTCATGTTGTCACCATTTTCAAAAAGATGTTAGTTGACCGAGGGACCGAGGGACCGAGGGACCTGGTTAGATCTAAAATATATTTTTGCTGAGTAAAATGACCAAATTTCATGAATTTCCTCATATGTTTGCTACCCCGACTTTTTTCGGCCTTGCATAAAACTCTATGAAATCATGAAAAAATGACCAAATTTCATGATATAACTGTATTTTTTTGACGAAGTGAACTTTTACTCTTCGTAAAAAAAATCCCTGAAATCATGAAAAAATGACCAAATTTCATGAATTTCCTCATATGTTTGCGACCGGCGGAAAACCGCGGGTCGAGATTCCGTACGAAAATCGTAAAAAAAACTCTATGAAAATCGTGAAAAAATGCGACCCTCGGAAAACCGAGGAACGAGATTCCGTACGAAAATCGTAAAAAAACTCTATGAAAATCGTGAAAAATTGCGAGTACGGGAAAAACCGTAGTCGCCTAAAACTCATGAAAACAGTAAAAAAACTCTATGAAATCATATCTTTTATACAAGATAGAAAAAATAAAATTAACGCTAGTTTTTTTAAAATATTTTTTTTTATTTTGTATGTAAAGACAGTAAATGACAAGCACTGAGTTTGAAACAGTTAAAAAGATAGACAATGACACCAAAGTGGTTAGAATAGGTGATTTAAACGTAAGATACTCAAAGAAATACAAAAATATTCTTTGTCAGACATTTTAACACTATCTGAAGGAAAGAAAGCACACGACTGGGTTAAAAATGCTTCATCTCAGAAAATTTTGACAAGAAATCCTGAGCTTTTGATATCGGTAAGATTCTATGGAACTACAGCATATCTTATAGACAAAAGTCTTATACCACTAGTTTTGTTCTGGATTGACCCAGTTGTTGGATATAATTTCATAACATATGGTTCATTCGATACTGAACGTTGCTGTGAAGGCTTACTTTACATCGTTCAGAAACCGAAGGACTTCAATACAAAGAGATATAAGATAGGAAGAACATTTAATATAACTCAAAGATATGACAGTATAGTCAATAGAGTTAAGGTTGCGTTTGTTAACGATATGAGAGCTGCAGAAACAGAACTACTTGAAAAGTTTGAGAAAATGTATGGTGCTCCCACGAGAGGTAAAGAAACGTTTGAAGTAGATGAGATCGACAAAGCTATAAAAGTATTTGACGAAGTTGCTGAAAAATACATGTAAAGCGTTTATTTTTGGTCTTTTATACAAGATAGAAAATAACGCTAATTTTATTTTTATTTTATTTTTTATTTTGTATGTAAAGACAGAAATGTCAACATCAGAGAACACAACAACTGCTATCGTTCATGAAGCCATAAGTGAAGAATATGAGTGGGTTCAGTTTAACAAACAGTTACGTCTCATTCGTTCGGTCAAAGATGACATGTACCAAATGCAAAGTATTTTGACAGCATGTTTTGCACCAGATACTAAGGTTCCTAAAGACTGGTTTAGGAACCAAAGCACTATTGAACTTTTGAGCGAAGCTGAAAATTCGACTACGGATTTTCTCGTAGTCGCAAAAACTCGAGTGGGAGAAAAACCCCAGTCGCCAAAACTCTATGAAAATCGTGAAAAATTGCCAAATGGTTTGAGAGGTTGGTATGTACATAGACTTCTTGTAAATGCTGTTGCAATGTGGGCTTCACCTCGTTACGCTTGGTATATTTACAGACTTCTTGACGAACTTCATAGACAAGAACGTGAAGAGCTAGAGAACAAGCTTGAAGCAAAAGACAAAAACATACAGAAAAGAATACCACGTTCGGTACCAAAAGGAAAGGAAAAGAACTATAAGTATATGATTTACACTGAAGAGATGGAAAATGAAGAAGACAGAGATATGGTTATGTTGCATTTAGTCAGAAGAAACAACAAAAGCTTTTACGACTTAGCTAAGATTTACAAATCTGACAGAAATTGGTTCTATCGCGAAAACTTACCGATTTCAATGACACCAAATGAAGATGTTAAACAGATAGTTCAAGATACGTTACCTCAAACACACTATGATATGAAAGGTTGTACAATACTTACATTCAAAGAAGATTTGCCGCTACTGAAGGAAAAGATAACAGAGTATTTTGACAACTTCAAAGAGGAAGAGTAAATGAACCATTTATTTTTCAAGCTTGACACCAAAAGATGGCTCAGGTAGCTCTAGATGGTAAATTGTCTTGTCCGAGTCCTTCTGGCATTCCGAGTCCTTCCTTCCGACAGGAAAAGTTTTTCCTTCCAACAGGAAAAAAATTTCCTTCCAACAGGAAAAGTTTTTCCTTCCAACAGGAAAAAATTTTCCTTCCAACAGGAAAAAATTTTCCTTCCAACAGGAAAAAATTTTCCTTCCGACAGGAAAAATTTTTCCAGTTGTCCGTTCCGTAAACCATTCAAATTTTCGAAAATTGAGAACTTTTTGGCCGACCTTCAGGAAAAATTTTTCTTTCCGACAGGAAAAATTTTTCTTTCCGACAGGAAAAGTTTTTCTTTCTGACAGGAAAAGTTTTTCTTTCCGACAGGAAAAGTTTTTCCTTCCGACAGGAAAAGTTCTTCCTTCCGACAGGAAAAGTCCTTCCATCTGACAGGACACAAACGGATGGCTGACGTTCCACCAACCGAGTCCATTCCAAAGCCAGAAGAACCGACAGCCCCAGCACCACAACAGACTAAGACTCAAACACTTACATTTTTACGCTTGACTTTTTACAATTTGAACTTTGTTCGCGTAGATGTGAATTCTGAAAGAAGTATGAGGGTCTTGTATGACTTTGTACTTCTCCCATAGTTCATGTCTGTCAAACTTACCTGCCATGGACTCTTTCATAAGTTCCATGAAATCGTCTTCGGACAATCCGGGGAAAAGTATGATATCAGTAAGTATTCTCTTTACATCCTTACTTAAACTCTTGGCTGTCTGTACACAAATGACAACAGAGATGTTAAAGTGTCTGAGCTTCTTAAGAATTCGACACATGTCTTGTTCTCTGTTCTTTAACAAAGGATGAGAAGCAAAGTCATCTAAGATAAGAAGACATCTGTGAGGGTAAGTCTTCCAATCGTAAGATTGCAATTTCTTCGAAATGTATTCTATCTCTTTCTGTTTGTTTCTGAAGTGTTTCTTCTCTAATATTCTCTGCATTTCCTCATTTGGGTCTTTAAACTTAGAATTGACATACTCATTTATAGCATTGTACTTCAAAACTCTTCTTTGGTACTTCTTTATCCAATCTAACAACTCAGAGTCTTTTATACATACTAACTTAGACTTTTTTATAATATCTTTGAACGAATTGACGGTTTGGTCAAATTGACCCGAAGTACTACAAATGACTACTAACTCATAGAATGGGTTCTTCTCATCTAGTTCTTGTTGTTGTGCAGCCATTTTAAGATAAGTGAAAGTCTTACCCGACCCAGGTGGTGCAATTAGACCTGTTATACCATTCTGAGCAAATAAGAACTTGTCATGTATGGGTTTTATCTGAGCATTTTCCAACTTCCTCTTGTTCTTGTTTAAAACATTCTCAAATTTCTTGTCAATGTCAGCAAACTTTTTTTCTAACATATTTTTAGAAAAATTAAAATTTTTATCTTTTAGGAAATGTCTAGCGATTTCGCTATCTATATTCGAGACAAGCTTTTCGACAGCAAAACATCTGTCGACCATAAAATCTTACATAGTGTAAACAAGAAAGGTGAATTTGTTTAAAGTTCTGTTTCTGGGAATATGACAAGAACCATAAAACCTTAAGCAGAGAAGTCTTAAAATTTGTCAATGACAGACTTGTTGACAGAGATGACGCCTCTTGGAGAGATGAAGTCCAACAAAACTTCTTAGAATGCAAAGAAGACACATGCGCTGTTCTTGAAAATGAAATAGAAAACAGAATAGAAGAGCTATTAAATGACAAAGCACTTTTACAAAAATATGGTTCTGAGAAGTTTGACATAACTCCACCAGAGAAGAAGAAGAGAGAAAAGAAAGAAAAGAAAGTAGAAGAAGAGAAGAAAGAACCAGAGCCAGAGAAAAAGAAATTTGACATGTAAAAATAAAATTTTATTTTTAGAACATTTCTGGTCAATGTCAATGTTCTCTTCCTCTTTAGGAGCAAACACTGGCTTAGACTCTAAAATCTTTTTACCCAATTTACCTTGAACTTCAACTATCTTAGACTCATAATATTCATAGTCGTCTGCTTTCTTTGGTTCATAAGGTATAACAAGTTTGTATGCTTTGCCTTCTTTAAGGTTTGAAAACCTTCTGTCAAAACTTTCTTTGACTGTTAACA